GAGCTCACCGGCACATATGCGCAGTGAGCTACCAGCCCCGCCCAAGCGCCGAAACCAAGTTACAGCGGCGCACAAGGTAGCATGCGCTGTGTAACCGGATAAGAATGTCCACCCCCACCACCACGCAAGTCGACAAAGGGCGCATGCGCCCGGTTGTCACTGGAGGTCGCCAAGCAATCAGCTGAGCAGACAGGAGCGACAGATGAGTCTTTTAATAGAAAAACACACGTGTAACAGTAGCAACACAATCTCTCACAATCCAGGTGGTTCTGGGCTTCAGTTCTTCACCTTGGGGGGTGGCCTGTGAGAGGAAGATGAGGAGTGTCACTGCTTGTCACCACTGTGCGGGTATGCCTATGAAGTACTGACCCGCGCGTCTCTGGGTATAGGGGACAAAAGGTATCTGTCCTGGTGAACTGGGTTTTCTGCTCACCTGTATACACCCACGACCACAGCGTGGTCTCTTTCGTATGGCTCTAGGGTCAACTGCTCCTGGGGCTTCATGTTCTCCTGTTGCATCTTTTTCACTTCAGAGGCAAACACTGCCTCTGCAGAGGCTGTGGAGTCAATGCAGTTGGCCTAGAGAGAAAAGAGGATTTGAAGTCGGCAGCAAGGTTTTGGGTTATTTTACCCTTTTTTGTGCTCTTTAAACCAGAAGTATTTATTTTATTAGAAATGGTGAGACTCAGGTTTTGGAAATTTTCAGTTTGCTCTGGATTTGGAAAAGGAAGCCTTCAACAGAGCCCTATTTATCTAAAAGTCAGTTTATATTTTATACTCAGGGTTTGTTTTTTTCCTTCTATTTCCTCTTCTTTAAAAGTAATAATGAAGCTGAAAATATGAAAATAAATGTAACAAAAATCTAACAAAATGGTGAATTTGGTGTAAAGTTCACTGTATTTCAAAATAAAATGTTTTTTAACATGTACCTAATATTTATCTAGTATTTATTCTATACCAGGCTCTGTTCTAAACACTTCACATGTTGATAAATTTAATCCTTATGTCAATTCTCAAAAACAGGACTAATATTTTTATTTTACAAGTCAAGCAACAGGCACACAGGTTAAGTTACTTGCTCAAAGTCACACAGCAAGCTGGAATTCAAACTCAGATGGTCAGACTTGGTGATCATGCACTTCACCACAATATTCTATTACCTCTTTCAATCCAAAATTGTTTGTTTTGCAGAAATTTTTCATCATGTGCTACCTGGGGGCAGAGGATGGCTTACAGGGAGCTGGGTAGGGATAGAGGCTGGGAACTGAATGGATTCAGAGGGATAGAGTCTCCCTTGCTTTGACTGGCTGCTTGGCAATTACTGATAGAGAAGATATGAAGCCCTGCACCTTAATGGAAATCACGAAGTGTCCTCCATTACGTAGGAAGGTGTGGGCATTCAGGGCTACAATTCGAGTCTGGTCTGGCTGGGCCACATCAGCGAAGATCACATCCACCATTGCTAGGGAGAAAGAAGTGGAAGTTAAAAGCTGGGTCCACTGGATCTTCCCAGCTCCTCCCATGGGGCCTGTGCCCCGTCACCAGTAGGTTCCTGGCAGAGTCTTTCCTGCCTCCAGTCTCACTTCCCCCCACTGATCCCCCTCCCTCCATGGTGCCCCCAAGATGGGTTCAAAACCCACAACCACACGATTCATTCACGCCTCTTATAAACCATGGTTGCCACCTACTCTGTGGCCAGCCCCGGGCCGGGCGTGGGGGACAGAGAGATGAGTCAGACCCGGACCCTGCCCTCGAGACGCTCCCGGGTCTGGGGGGGAGACAGACACGTCATCAAAAAGGCAAGTAAAGATGAGCACTTACAGGCAAGAGGGTCTGCAGGATTAGCAGATGAAAACAAATTACAGGATAAAGGATATGGTATGAGTACATGGAAAAAAACTCATAGAAAAACCAGCAGAATGCAAAGTAATATTTTTAGGGCAGTGTGACTTAAAAAAAACAAAAAACTTAAAGAAATGAAAAGATGGTGTGAGGAAACTGACTTTTTTAAAGCAGGAAGAGCAGACATCAAACTGTTCACATAAATTACCTGGGGGTGATTTATAAAGCATTCCATTTTTATATTATGCTTCTGAATTTTATTAAAAAACAAAGCCATTAATATTCACAATAGGCCCCTCTGGACCAGGCCACACTCAGTTTATGCATTCTGGGTTCTGATCTCACCAGATGATGAGGAGGAGGACCCTGGAAGGAGGCTTTTCTACATAGGCCAGAGGCAGTATAAAAGTACTGTTTTAGCGGGAAGTAGGAAGTATGGGGGGGCCTACAGAGAGGGGCAAGAAATCAGAGGAGAAGAGGCTGGCCCTTTGAGGGAGCCAGACATCTGAGACCCTGAAGCAGGACCACCACCTTCACAACCTCACCTGGCTCCCCCCACCCTTTTCATTCCTGCAGACTCAAAGAGGCCTGCTCATCCACTCCAATTCCATCCAAATCAGGACTTTGCAGCCTCTTCCAGGAAACCTGGAGTGGCCTGTCCTATCCCACCTGGGCCAATCCCCAGGCCCCTCACCAATGAGCATGCGGTATTTGTGGGGGTGCCGAGCATCTTCGATGACAGGAATAATATTGGTCCTCTTCTTGGCCAAGTTAATGAGGTCCCGGCCAGAGCGGTGGGAGAACTCAACTGCATAGACCAGTCCATCCTAAAATAAATAACAAAGATACTAGTTCTCATATATGGAGCACCTACTTTGGGCCCATACAATGCATGAAGCATCTCTTCAAACTCCCAAATCAAAACCCTACCCTTTAACAACTATTGTTACCATGTCCATTTTACAGATGAATAAACTGAGGTGTAGAGACATGAAGTCATTGGCCCAGGGTTATTCACTCCCGCTTTGCCTGATCTGAAAGCCCATGCCCCCAGTACAGGCATAAAACCAGGAAGCTAGGGCACAGGGATAAAGTCATAACAGCCAAGGATATCTGCAATAGGCCAGGCATTGCTCTAAGCATTTTGCAGGAATTAACTCCTTTATCTTCACAACAACCCTATTTACCCAGAGAGGTAAACTGAGGCTCAGAGAGATTAAGTAACTTGCTGACAGCCTATCACTGTTAAATGCCTATACCATTTAAGAGCCTGTGTTTTTAACCACTAAATGACACAGCCTACAATACAGTTGAGCTAGGGGTCATGAAGTGAGACGCACAGGTATCCCCTGAACAGAGAGCCTGTATAGCCACACAGAAATGCTGACCCAGAAGCTGAAATCGCCTGGTTTTTTTTCAAGAGAAACCAGACCTCCAGATTTTGGGGGCATAACTTGTTTTAAACAGCAACCAAGTCAAATAGTCTGATATCTACACACTTAGCTCTGGTCACCCCAATGCTCATGCCCCTTCCCTCCTGGCCAAGAACTCAGGAGTGAGGCTGAATGAAGTTTGGAGAGCAGGCAGTTCAAGTGCCTTCTACTCAGGCACTCTGAGAAGGGCCTCACTGCAAGCCATGCTGTGCAGGGCTTCTGGCTGGCAGAGGAGGTGGCCTTTCTCCCCCTCCTACCTCACCACCAGCCCTTACTCACCCCCCACCTCACCGTTCACTCACTGGGCCTACGATGTCAGAGACATGAGAGACAGTGGTGCCTGACGCAGCCCCTAGGTAGAGCACTTTGGCCCCTGGCTTGATGTGGATCTGGTCCACGCCACCCAGGATCGCTGCCGCCAGCTTAGAGCGGAAGGGGTTCCAGGCGCGGTACTCGATTTTGTCCTCTCCCTCCTGGGCAAGAAGAAATGGGGATGGAAGTCAGTGCCAGACTCTCTTGTGAGACCCCACTGCCCTTAACCCTAGGGCCCTCAAAGGGATGGGTACTCAATCACTGTACAAGAAACAAATGTGGATAGATATCAGTGACCATGACAGGTGCAGTGCCTGCCCTCTCATGGAGGTTACTGACTCAAGGAGAAGGGGCAGTGATAGACAGTAAACACAGACAAGACCGTACCAGACAATGGCAAGACCTATGCATTCAGTCCACAAACATTTACGGTGCCAGCACATATTGTGTGCAGACCCTACGCTAGGCACACAGTAACTGAGATAAATACCCCTCCCCCCAAGGAGTAAGTATATATTGAACTGACTCACACACACATACACACAACATAGCAGCGAATGACAGGTGCTAAGGAGAAAAGAGCAAGCCAGGGAGAAGATATGAAGTGTGGGAGCAGGGCGAAAGACAGGTGATAATGAGAAAGGGTGGCCAGAAAAGAGCCAAGGAAACATGTGAAGCAAACCTGAAGGAGGCGAGGGGCCATTCAAGTTACCTGTGGGGAAGCTCATTCTAGGTGGCAGGACAGGCAGCAGAAAGGCCCTGAGGCAGGAGTATGCCTGGCCATAAAGAAGATGACATGGGACAAGAAGGCAGGGGACAGGAGGTGAGGGCTGCTTTCCACAGACAGGGTGGTGCAAGGTGGTCTTGTGAGAAAGATGAGGTGACACCTGACTAGAGACGCTGGTGATGAAAGGGAACTAGCCAGGCACAGAGCTGGGAGCAGAGTATTCCAGGCAGAGGGAACAGCAAGGAGGTCCGTGCGGCTGGAAGAGGTGGGAAGAGGTGATGCCAGAAGGTGCAGGGCCTTCAAGGCCACACTGAGGACTTGGGACTTGAACCTGCAGGCAATGGGGAGTCACAACAGGCATCTGGGGAGGGGGTGCGTGATCTGACTCGTGTATTAAGATGATCTCCCTGGCAGTCATGGGGAGGACACATGGTGGAAGCAGGGAGACAAGACTGCTGGTTACAATATCATCTGGGGCCCCAGTGGCTTGGACAGGGGCCCTGGTCTCACCGAAATCGAGACTCTCTTCTCTCCATAAACTGATTCTCCAGGGACCAGATTCTTGGTGACTAATGCATCTTCCTTTCCTCGACAAATGAAGACACCTGGGTGAGGGGATCAGAGCAGGGGTGAGGACTCTGGGCCCATCCCCCTCCTCCCCCAGCAACCGCAGTGGGTTCCCTGCCTTCCTCACTCACCCTCATGCCGGTGTGGCTCCACCATCACATTCTTCCCTGACTGGTTTCCTCTTTTTCCTCCCCGACCACGACCCCTGTTGCCACCAGGCTGGAACCCGCCACCTACAAGAGAGAGACGCAGTGAGAGAGGGACACCCCATATCTCTTTCCCTCTCCACTCCCCAAGCCTAGGGAAAGCATCCTCCGTCTCATCTCCCCAACCTCACTCACCTCTTCCTCCGCCACCTCCTCCTCCTCCTCGTCCTCGGCCTCTGAAGCCTCCACCTCGACCTCGGCCCCCGCCAAAGCCCCCTCGGCCCCCGCCAAAGCCCCCTCGGCCTCCGCCTCGACCACCACGGTCACCAAAGCCTCCTCGGCCACCGAAGCCGCCCCCACGGGGGCTGAAACCTGTGGTGGAAACAGAAACAGGAATTGGTCAATGAAGCTCCTCCTGCACCTCATAATTGCCCTCAGGAGGGAAACTGGAGAAACGTGCACCCAGAGATGTGTCCACGAATGTCCACAGCAGCAGGAAATCAGGACTAACTCAAATGTCCACCCGCAGAACGGACAAATAAAATGGGGAACATTCACAATCAACAACGTAAAGGACCTACAGTTACATACAACAGATAAATCTTAGAATCAAAATGTTAAGTGAAAAATCAAGTCCAAGGAAACCATATCCAACATAATATCCTTTTCATAAAGTTCAGCAACAACTGAAATTAAACAATGCTATGCTGTGGTGATATCTGTGGTAACCCACATGCCACCCCCCGCCCCCAAAGAGGCAAGGGAATGAGAAATACAAAACTTATGATACCGGGTAACAGGAGGGAGAAATTATGGGGTTAGGATAGGGCAGGGGTACATAGATAGATGTAGGTTACTATCAGTATTCTGCTCTCCTTGGTTGGATGGTAGATTCACAGAATTCATTCTATTTTCAATACTCATTAGTCTGCAGGAAAGCAAACACTGCATGTGCGTGCTCAGCGGCAGTGGTGTCCTGCAGACCTTGGAAACGTCTTCCTGCCCTCCCACACCTGACCTTGTGCCTGGAACAAACGTGCCAACCCGCAAACAGAGGGGCGTTCTGCATGATGTCTTTCCTGCTAACTGATCTCCCTGCTTCCAAGTTTGCAAAAGGCTCTGCCAGCTCAGGGGAAAAAGAAGAAAAATACCGAATTGTCCTTTATGGATGGGCAACAGTTCATAAGCAGTTTAGGACCTATGACAAGATTGAAAGTTTAAGAAAAAAAAGTTTCAGAAACTTTGTTTTCATCACTTCAGGATAGCGCCAATGATCTTCACTGAGCACAAAACAATGTTTGAGGCAGACAGAATTCTCCTGGTGCTAACGGATTCAATATCTGACTTTTGACAGTTTCAAAAGTTCTTCAGTAACAGTCAGAAAAGTCACAAGTTATAAAACAATAGTGTGAAAATTTTTAGTATGGGCTGATTTAAAATGATCTGACTTGATGTAAACTATTCAATAGCAAACTTGAAGTTTTTGTGAAGGTGTGTTACATTCACACCCATGAAAGCTTCATGCATCTTAATGGCATTAAAGATGAAAATGTAGAACTTATAATAACAATTCCTAATTTGATTTTTAACAACTAACAGTTTCAAAACCCACACATAACCAAGAGTTGTTTACGTATTCTCTTCCACTCCCCCAACAGTCTTCTGTCCAAGTGGCAGCTAGTGATCACCCTTTTTAAAACAGGCATCAGGTCTCATCATTCCCATGCCCAAATCCCTTCAATGGTTTTCCATCACATTCAAAGGAGATCAATCACTGGCTTCCAAAGCTCTAAAGCAGTGGGTCTCACCTTCAGCTAATCCCTGGAACCTAGACATCTTGATCTATTGATAATTGTCTGGGGTGGGGGCCTAGGAGTGGGGGCTTTTGAAAGTTCCCCAGGTGATCCTAAAGTGCAGCCCAAACTGAGACCCACCATCATAGGGCTCTGGCTTCTGCTGACTTTTCTGACCTCATTCTTTCTATGCTGGGCAGCATGCCCCACCCACCACCAACAAATTAGCTCTCCAGTTTCTCAGCCTTTAACAAATGCTGTTCCCACTGCCTGGCTCTCGTGAACATGGGCTGGACTCGCCCACTCCTTCTCTGTACTCAGGCCTCTGATTAAATGTTCCCTCCTCAGAAGGGCCTTCTCAGAAAGGCCTCCACCTTTACCCTGCTTTCTTTTTCTTCCATCAATTACCATCCATGGCACTTGAAATATTACTGCTTGCCTCCCCCATGAGAATCATGCTCCAAGTGGACAGGATCACTTGTTCTGGCCACCACTGCATCTCCAGCACACCACCACTGCATCTGGCACAAAGTATGGGCTCATGAAATACTATATACACTGTTAAGCCTCTGGGTTCTGCCGCATGGAGAAAGCAACCCACTCTGTTCATTCAGGAAGTAGGTGATCAGATGGTGACCAGAGCCATGGTCCCTCCCCTCAAGCAGCTCCTGTGTTTCATACAGGGAGATGGCCACACCATTTGCAACCCTAGAGAGTAGGGAAGGTTCATGGGAGTCTTGTGAATTTCATCTGTAAGGTGGCGATAAGGCGATAACACAGTGCTCACCTCACAGAGTTGAAAGATTAAATGACTTAATACACACAAAGCACTTAATACACCGCCTGGCAGACTCAAGGCAAAGTTCTCCCTCCCACTTAGGGGAGAAACCACTAGACCTAAGAGACTTTCAACCCCTAGGCCTGATAGAACAGAGACCTGGAAAGTGTGGGTACAGGCATGGGGTACAGTGGGCACAAATGTAAACTTTCAGTCCTCGATACTCAAAACATACCTAAGCCATTTCAGGTTCTGGGGCTCTTAAAAAAATGTACTAAGGTAATCATTTCAAAATATATACATATATCAAATCAGCAAACTGTACACCTTAACCTTACACACCTTTATGTCAATTATATCTTAATAAGCTGGAAAAAATAGGTATATTTAAAAAAAAGAAAGAAAAATGTACTAAAAATACCCACTCAGAAAATCACACATTCACACACACTTCTACAATTTTTTTTTTGGAAGAGGGGATCCACAGACCCTCTGGTGTAAAACTGCTCTCCTCCCATAGCCTTCCCCACCTCAAAAATGGCAACTCCGCCCTTCTAGTCACACACATCAACACCGTTAGTTATCCTTGAACTCCTCTCTCATACCCACATACGAACTGTTGGCTGTTTTCAAAATGTATTCCCAAATCGTGACAATTCGTTAGCCAGGTCCACTGCTACCACCCTGGTCCAAGCCATATCATCTCCTGGTAGATAACAGCAACAAATTTCCTCACTGATATACCTGCTTCCACTCTTGCTCCCCCAAGTCTTTTACACACAGAAGCAAGGGGATCCTTTTAAAAGTGTCAGTCAAGTCTGACTGTGATCATATCCCTGCTCAGAATCTCTCAAAGGCTTCCTCTCTCAATCAGACTAAAATCCCCACTGAAGAGCTTACTCCTGACAATGTCCTCAACTTCATATCCTAACAGTGGGGGAAGGGTTGGGAGGAAGGCACATTTTCTGTTTCTGGGAGAATCAGGCTATAGGATACCCGCAGGCATTCAAGGGTCTCAGTTGGCGATACACAGCCTAACACCTCCCACCCCACATTAGATCCCCAAACACTTAAGAGAAAGGGAACTTCGGCAGGGACACAGGTACGCAAATGCTCCTCCCCACCAGATCACTCCATCTCTCTACATGCTAAGAGAAAAAAAAAGAAAGAAAAAAGAAAACCTGTACTAGAAAACAGACCCTTTCTGTCACAGCGGGAGATTTCCCCAACTCCAGTGGAGCAAGGTGGGAGAGGGACAACCGCCTAATTTAGGAAGAACTGAGGCACCAGGGGATAGGATCCTAATTTTGTTCCCCTTAAGAAAGCTAAAAGTAACAATTAGAGCCAATACTATTATGTTAAACACTGTGCTATATTTTCCAGCTTTATTGACATGTAATCGACAAACAACGTTCTCTAAGTTTAAGGTGTAAAACCTATTGATTTGATACACATATACTGCAAAATGATTACCAGGTGTTATTTTTTCTTAACATGATCTTAGTAAATTGTAACTGGGTGCCATTTTACTGATGAGAAAACTGAGGCTCAGAGAAGTAAAGCTACTTGCCCAAGGTCACACAGTAGGTTAAGAAGCAGAGCCAGGATGAAAACTTTGAACTGAGGCCCTTCTACTTTCAGAGCCAGGGCTCTCCGATGGGGTGGGTTCATCAGAATCTCTAGGAAAATTGAATGAATAAAACCACTCATGCCCTGTGACTACCTCCCTCCCCCACCGCATGCTAATCCTATCCTGGGATTGTGAAGTCTCATCTTGGGAGTTAAGAATCACTAGGCCCAGGATCTCCACTCCATCCTCAGGGACCCGCCCCCTGGGGAGAATAGAAGGCAGGAAAGTGGGCCAGAGAGGACCACATACTATCAAGCCGAAAGTCCTCATCCACTCCGACACTCTCTGAAAAGGTAGGCTGGGGGCCAAGGGGACGGCGGTAGCAGCGGCAACAGGGGAGGCAAATGGGGGTCTGAAGCAAACTCAACTCCCAAAATCTCCACCTCTGAATCGACAGATCCCCAAAACCCACGCTCAAAGATCGAAAACCCCAGGTGCCTGGATCCAGACTCTGGGTCAGTAAGCCCGAATGCCGCCCATAGCCCAATTTCCAAGACTCCTATTGACAGCCTCAATGAGACGAAACCCAGTTCAGAAACGCCCCCAATCCGAGGCCCAAGACCCTCGACTAACGATCGTGATCTCCGAAGCCAGTCACAAAACCTCCAGACAAGGAGCCCGAACCCCAGACTCAGGATCGATCATGGGGCGGAATCAAGACACTCTCCTACACGAGACCGGAACCAGTACCCCCTCCCCACACAAGACCGAACCCGGATCTCAGAACCCCTGTCCCCAGGCCATGGCTCCACCCCTCCGATCCCGATCTGGCATCCCGGTCCCCGCCCGACCCCAGACCCTGACCCCCGACCCCAACCCCTGCCTGCACCTGGCCTCATGGCGACCGCTGAGGTGAGTGGCTCAAGAGCCTGCTGCGTCCCGGACCCCACGAGTCTGGGGCTTTCGCACGTGGAAAGGAGCGCGCGTGCGCGCGCGCGGGGACGTACGGCGTGTGACGTAACCACGCAGCCCCACCCCTCGGAGCCCCAGTCCTGCCCAGAACCCAGCGCGCACGCTATGGGCGGGGATTCCCCTGATCGGGTACCGCTCTCTCA